AATTTTTTTTAATATTTAAACAACATGTTGCAAGAACGATAATTTTAAAATTAAAAAAATTGAGTTTTGTCATTCTACTTTAAAAATTGAACGTTTTAGGTATCGTTAAACAAACAAAAATAAAATGTTGTATGTCATTCGGCCAAGAAGAAAAAGATTCACGTCTTGGCCTAATGACATAAATAATTATTTATGCCTACTTTATTAGTTGTTTATAATTACATTTTTTGCTTAATTAGTTTCAACAGTAAATATTTTATATATATATATAATATATATTTTTTATATTTATTGTTATTTTTTATTCATATTTATATAAATAGAATATATATAATATTTAAGAAACCCCTAGAGGGGTTTCAAACTACAATGTTTACTTGAAATACCAAAAAATAACATAAAAATACATATATTTTTATAAAATGTTTCTTAAAATAGGTACCTATTTTTTATTATAATAAATTTAAATATTTAAAAAAATTGGTTCCTAAAATTTTAAACAATTGTTTTTTTCTATTGGACATTTCTCTGCAGTGCTTCCGACGCTTTCCATCGGAAAACTCTCCGAACTTTTCCTCCCCACAAGCAACACAATATATCTCGTCCATTTCATGCTTTCCTGGTAGTCAATTGCGAACTTGCTTTGAAAGTTTGTTATCCTCCCCCACATTAATAATAGAAGGGTGGAAAACCAAGCGTGACAAACACGGGGGTGACATTTTCACCACACCCCCACGTCTCTGCTGTCCTACTAGAGGAAAATGCATCGGGTAGTGGAAGTTACCATTTTCTCCATTAAAATGGATATCTTCGTGTCCACTGAATAGTGGAAACTATTTGTGACTGAACTTTCTCCTGCAGGGAATAGAAAGAACATTAGGCCTGTGCTTGGCAAAATTTAAATTGTTCACTATTAAAAATATATTAATATTTTTAGTCTCTTTTAAAATCTGTAAAAAAATTATTTATAGTTTCACATAAATAATAATAACCCATTAAAAAGGAACGAGATTAATTTATGAATGTTCAAACATTACGCTACCGGTTGTCATTGTATTTTACGATAATTAAACACACAATTATTTAAATAATCAACAATCACTTACCTAGTTACACGCACACTATTACCTAATATTAACTTAAAAAAGGCTGTCTTTCACTCTACAAAAAGTTTCCTTTTACCCCTTCGAATTCCTGCAACCCTTGTAAGGGAACTCCACGTTATTCGTCTGTTGTTCCACTGAAAAAAAAGTTGATATTATTTTCTCCAACTCCCACGTTTCTGTACGTAGAAGTATAGATGGAAAATTAAGTTTGTTAAACAATGCAAATTTGCTTCCCAAATACTTACCGTACACAAGTTACCTCTGCAGATTTATGCGATCCCAATACAGTGTATTTTTTGAATGTGTGTGATTGCGTCATCAATTGCGTCGTATGAATTAAACCAAAACTAAATTTAGAGTCAGTAGCGTATCATTTTGAAGGGGTCTAAGCATTTATTGTGGGTGTATTTTTGGTTGCCTAATGTCGCCTCATAGTTACGCAACTCAAAATACATACAATTAAACAATAATTTTAATGATAGTTATTTTAACTTTATTAATGTAAATTATGCAAGTTTTATAAACGAATAACAATAAACATACACAATTTTTGTACATAATATTATGTACATACATATAATATATTATAAGTTAATTAAGACAAAACATTAATTATTAAAATAAAATGTTATAGGAGAACGAAAACAAAATTACTAAAAGTCATCCTCGTCGGAACTGTCTTCTCCGAGGTGGATAACTAGTTCTGGCACGTCATCGACCATCCTTGTCTTTTGGAACCAATCGTCAATTAATTTGTTGGTGTGCCTCACTACTGAACACCAACGTTCTGGCGTGCATGGGTTCAGTGCTTGGCCCCACATTGTTAGCACTTTATTGTCGCCATACCCGTCTTCCCCCATATGGGAAACATAATATGTTTTAGCCTAAAACAGAATTCGTTGTTGCAAGCGCCCATCTAATTGTTTATGTATTTACCTGCGCCCATATAAGTTCAATGGCATTAAACTGGCAGTGATATGGAGGCAGACGCAAAACCTTATGCCCATGCTGCTGGAGGTACTCATCAACTTTTTAACGCTTAGGCGGGGTGTGGTAGCGTGCCAGAAACAGCAATTCCGCTTTAAATATACCTTTGATAAACTGAATGTTCTGTTAGCCACTCTTCTATTTGCTGTTTTTTCCAGGCACTTGTAGGGTGACGCTCAACAACGACGCTGTGGTAAGGAGCGTTGTCCATCACAATCAGTGAAGGTTCCTTTGACCCTAAAGTAAACATGCTCAGTAGAAACAAGCCTAACATAGCTTACCTCTCGGACACAGTTTAGTGGGAGCAGGGGTTCCCCATGCTCCAGTTCCCTTTGAAAATATTGCACTAAATTAATAATAAAACGTTTCTGATTATCGTCCAAACGTTTGCAACACATTTTTTAAAACCTGTCAAACTTCCAAAATCTGTTCTTTAATGCCAAATTACTGTATGAACGCCACTGACTAACCTTCAAATTTTGATAAATTTCGGCTCAATACCACAACAAACTATACGCGCTCTGTCCTTTTTCAGCACAAGCCGCGTGAGCGCGACATCAGATTGACGTTTGTCGTAAATTACGTTTAATTGTGTCGCCATCTGCTGGTTTAGCGGATCCCGATACGTTTTAGAATTTCGGTGGAACTTTTACAAAGAAAAAAAAGACAGCTACACATTTTAATGTCTTTGTTTGGTTCAGCAATTGATGACGCAATCACACACATTCAAAAAATACACTGTACCTATGTCTCCCTTTTTTGTTCTCCAGGTAATTATGGTTTCGTTCCGGGAACAAAAGTGCAAACAAATGATTTTTGTTACCGTTTCATTGCTTTCAAAGCAAGCATCTATTGGGATTTTAACAAATTTTAATATTTCCTGCAGACATTCTAAAAAATTTTGACATCTACATTTATGTACTTATAAATATTCTACCTAGATATGTAAAAAAACGTTTTTTTATCAGATGTGAAGAAAACATGAAAAAACCGGTTTTTTTGTTTTTTTTCCAAATCCGCTACATTAAAGCATATTCTGTCAATAAATAACTTCAATCTTAAAAAATGGAGTAATTTTTCAAAATGAAATTTTGAGTAAAATGCATAAAAATAATAAAGAGAAATGTAGAATATTTATCATAATTGAAAATTTTGACCGAGACTAAAAAATCTGATTTCTTATTATTTGGTAGTTTCCACATAAGAAATCAATAACAATGTAAAACTTCTACACTATAGTATATTATAATAGAAAAAATTAAAGGATTAAACAAAATCCATATTTTTCGGATAGCTGTATCTTCGTTAAAAATGGTCGTATTGGAGCTGTAAAAAAAGCTATTTGAAGCTTGAAGTTTCTAGTTTTGAAATTTTTAGATAAAAAACGCTCAATCCTAACGAATACCGTATTTTATAATAAAAATATTCGAAATTTTTTTGGCTTTCTTTTTTGGTCCACGGAATGTTCTAACTGACCACCAATGAATAAATGTTCTACAAAAATTTGGAAGAAAAAAAATTTCCATACTCTCTTTGAAAAATCATGAAGAAAGGGCTTAAAATTTGGTAGGTTTTGAAAAATCAAGCGCTGAATAAAAAATGAGGAGAATCCGTGCAAAACCGGCTATATCCACTTTAATAAAATGTTGGGAAAATGGCAAAATCTTTTGGTTTCCTGGCCTTTACAGATAAAAGAAAAAGCAAACTTGAGTTTTAAGGCCAAAATTTCAAAAAATGTTTTTTATATAGCCGGTTTTGCTCGAAAACCGAATAAAAAACGAATAAAATGTGAAAAAAACCTCGTAAACAACCTTTATTATTCAAAAATATTAACAAAACAAATTTAGTGCAAACATGAAAAAACAGAACAAATTTTAGTAGTAGTATCGACATATCCAAGCCACATATTATTATTTATTGGATATAGCCGGGTTTGCTATAAAAACGTGGATTTGGCCGGTTTTGCTCCTAAAGCTACCTTTTAAATGTGATTTTAACATGGGTTTTGCACGGATGCTCCTCAAATATTATGGGTAGATACTTTTTTAGGACCAAATCAAAACAAGCGCGGCCCTTATTGGTCAGTTCGATGGTGGTGGCGCGTGCATAGCGCGAGACTGTATTTACATTTATTAAATGTCATTTAGTGGCTAAATTTAGTCCATGAACTGGACTGGAAACATAAAAAATTAGGCAAATGGGACTAATCTTGAAAAAAAACCTAAAATATGAAAAAAAAAAAACATTTGAAAAAAAACAATGAAAAAAAAAACGGACCGTTTTTTTCAAGTCGCATCTCTAATTCTACCTACATATATGGATAACAGTTTTAACAAAAACATACACTGAAAGAAATATATGTTTGTTTTAGCAATGTTTTGTGGTTCATATATGGACTACCACATACATTGCTAAAACAAACATATATTATATTTAGTTTTAACATAATATGTTAAAACTAAATATAAAAATGGTTAAGGTAAATATATTATATGTTTGTTTTAGCAATGTATGTGGTAGTCCATATATGAAACATAAATTTCTTTCAGTGTACATAACAAGACAGAAATGAACCAAGTGTGTCTTGTTTGCTATTTTTTTCACGAAAAAATTCATACACAGCTTGTGGTGTTTATTTGTATATTTTGTATATTATCAAATTTCTGCTGACATTTTTATATTTTGTGATATCTACGAAACCAACTTAACTAAAAAATTCAGCCGTTAACTATTAAAACACCGTCAAAAATAGTTATATCACGTTTTTCCAACTTTTCTTCAAAACAACTATTTCGCCATCTCTCCTGCGGCGTTGCAGGGGGTAAATCAGGCAACGCAGCGCAGGATAGATAAACACACAGATTGCTATAAATAGGTTACCGGCTGCGGCGTCGTTTATTTTCCTAGGACTGAAACGTCGAGGTTTTCAGCAGTCGGGAGCTGAAATCGTTCTAACGTGTTCCTGCTGCCTTTTCAGCCTGCGACTGGTTTCAGCCGTCGCAAAGGGTGGAAACCTGTCGAGCGGCCGGCACGGTTTAGCAGGAGAACAGCAGTGCCAGCAGGAGTTTTGGGCGTTTTCAGGAAAACTCCTGCTGAAATTTTGTTAGATAATTGCCGCTACGTGCTGATTGTTCGACTTGTTTTTGTTTTTAGATCATCATTTGAATTTCAAAAAACTATTTTTATAATAGCAGGAATTTTAATAATAGTTTTTAAATTCAAATTTTTATTGGGTGTTTTTCAAAATATTGCTGTGATAACAAAAAATAAATTAACATCATCCTTATTTTTACAAAAATAGCTGTAATTGTAATTAACTTTAAAGGTATTGACGTAAACGTTTATAAACATAAAATATAATTGTTTTTTTTATTTTACTACTGTTTAGTCCAGGAAACAAAGAATGTAGAAGGAAAACTCGATGGTAGTCGGGTTTTATTTTTTTATGTAGAGTCAGGGGTGCTGATAATGAATCAAGAATAATAATTTCATCCCCCGAAAGGGGAGTTTTTTTGCTTTTTAAAAGTAATCGATCCCAAACCTTACGGTAATCAAACATAACCGAATGGACGATTTTTTTAGGTACCAGACTTTTTTAAAAGGTACTGCTTTTCAATGTACAGGGGGTTCTTTTTTCAAAACTTTAATTTTTGTGGGGCTCTTGCAATAAAAATAATTTAAAAAAAACTACGGATTCGTTACGAGGATAAGTGTACCTAAAAATCTAGGGTAGAACGAACTGGCTCATTAAAGCCGTTTGGGAAATAAAAATGTGTTTTTTGAAAAAAGAATCCCCTGTACATTGAAAAGCAGTAACTTTTGAAAAAAGTCTAGTACCTCAAAAAATCGTCTATTCTGTTATGTTTAATTACCGTAAGGTTTGAGATCGATTACTTTTAAAATTGGGCTATAATAAAAAAAACAAAAAAGTAATTTTGAAAGCAACGCTCAACTTTGCACAATGCGCAATGCGCATTGCGCATAGCAAAAGGGCACATCATATAGGTGCGCAATGACGTTTAACGTGTGCCATATTTAGTACATAATCAAAAGGACTAGTAAGAAAGTTGACAATATTTGGACACACTTGCCAAAGTAAACAATTATAAATCTTTGTCAGTAACTGCCTAACCTATTCTATTGTATATATTTCTAAATTATCTTCGTAAAACAACATTCTTACTGTTGAATAAAGTTACAAAATATTTTATTTTATTTATTCAGCTATCCGTGTCATCGCATAAAAATCATCACTTACCCATACAATTTTTTTAGTATCAATTTTAAAAGCAAATAATGTAATTACATGTATGTCATTCAAGAAAGCTAAGTATAGGAATTACAAATCAAATACTAAATATTGATACAAACAATAATGAAATGTTTATTGGTTTTGTATATTTTGTTTATAACCGTAAAAAAAAATTTAACTCCCCTTTTTTGTTCACTCGTAAATTTGCAAAATATTCAAAATATCAAGTGAGTAGGTATACAAATTTGTTTTTTTGATTAAATCCTAGATGGCGCTACAGGCACGTATTATTTGTATTATAATATATTTATGTATTATACTAGTTTGAAAGTTTTTTATATTTAGTTTGGGATAAAACTACATATTTAATACCTACATACATATATATATATATATACAAATAATACGTGCCTGTAGCGCCATCTAGGATTTGATCAAAAAAACAAATTTGTATACCTATTGATATTTTGAATATATAGAAGTTGGAGTGAAAATAAAAATAAAATGTATAATAACGTAATCCTGTTATTGGGCTCTGGGCCTGTTGGATACGAATAAATAAATAAATAAATAAATAAATAAATAAATAAATGTCATATTATTCAAAAATATGTTATTCTATGAAATAATACAGAATGGCGTTTTTTCAAATTTACAAAAAATAGCTAACCTCACCTGCATTGGCAACGATTAATACTTATTTAACCTACAGGTTATAACCTAATATTATTTACACATTATTATTATTATTATTATTATTTTTTGTTATTGTTCGTATAAAAAAGTTGGATTCATGTATTTGTTACCTGATGGTTATATGGGTAATTAATTTTTGTTTCGTCTTCAAATTTTACGACTCCCTGTTTGTCATCGTCTCATTTTTTATGGACCCAACGGTGAGATAGTCATATTAAATTTGCCCGTTGGGAATCTAAAAAAAGCATGCGGTATTCAGTTAAGTTATTTTCGGCCAGGAAATGGACGTATGGTACCACTTGAAAGATACAAAATTAGAAATAGAAAATTCTTAATTGGGTGTCAAAATTTGTATTACATACATTAAATTAAGTGTGTATTAGATTATATTAATTAATTAAAATCAAAATAATGCCATAGTTTTTTTAAAGATTTTTTGAAGTTTGTTAGTTTGTCATTTTTATTAGATGACACAACCTTATATGCCTGTATAGAGATAGTTGAAGTGCGTCTTTTTCATTAGCGGCAGACAAAAAACTCAAAAAAGCCTAGGGATAGAAGTAAATCCATAGGTGTCTCAATAGACGTCAAATAATAAAATTAATTTAGCATTTCATACAAAGCAATCACGATGTATTAATTATAATCGCACGGAATATTTAGTGATTATTTATTAAATTTTAATTGAACGAAACAAAGAACAACTAGTTTATTAGTATAATATTATGATGATAGACGAGTCGCCAATGTCGGAACTCCAAACAAATGTCAGTACGTCAAAATTAATTCAAGCCCAGCATTTTGACAGAGCAGTGTTTATTTTTAGTTTAGGATATTTATCGGCATTGTAAGTAAGGGTTATAAGTTTTTTTTAGTTTTTAACAATAATTTATAATGCTTTTGGCCAAAATTTTATACCACATAAGTTATGAGTAAATAAAATAATTCTATTGCTTATCCTATTTATAATACGCCCTTGAAAAAAAAATTGTATATGTTATTTGGAGTAGAAGCTCTTTTTGTGCTTCGTACAGTTGCCTGCCTTAGCTACGCTTCGGCCGCTAATCTCTGTACTCACCACAAAAAGAGTCACTTCTACTCCTTATGACATAATCTACTATTAAGTTTGATGCGGTTCGTTATATTGCTGCTTAGTTTATTAAAAGAATATTTTATGTTGTATAATTACGTCTCCTGTTTATTAAGAGTACAAACGAGTATTTAATGGATATGCTTCTGCCCTAAGTTGTTTTTGAGTATTCATAAATTTGAAATCAATCATTTTAATCGCACAACTACTATTTACTACAATTATAAAATCGATTGTTTTTTTTTTAGGTATGTTATAGTTTGTTTAGCCAACAAGATAATTACACAGTTAATCGGTAAGCAATAAAGTTATAGTAATACATTAAGAAATATTAATCCTGTTAATTATTATTATCATTATTATAATAATCCTACAATAAAGCATTTTATTAATTATAAACACATTTAGGCTAATTAAGTTAATTGATTTTTCAGAAAAATAATAAGCTTAGGTACCTACTAAAAAAATAATGAATTAAAGAAGTACTTAATTTCATTTTTTTAATCATTTTTTTCCCACGTGTTCTAAACAAACTTACATCTTGTATTTAATTATGCACGAGGAAGATTAATGTTTTTTGGTCGTTTTCCAAATTTAATTTCAATGAATACATCGACATAACTATTTCTAATTCGTATAAAAAAATGATATTGTTTCTGTTGGCTTTTATTTTATGGAGGTATTCAAGGTATGCTTATATGTAAATAGTTTTTTTACTTTAATTTAAATAACATAGTGAGGCATGATATTAATTTTTAAAGTGTAAATGTAAATATTTTGGAATTTTTTCTATGAATTATAGTGGAAAGTGGAAAGGCGGTACAAGAAAATAGGTTCTTACATACGTCTGAAAAGGACTGTAACACAGTCCATTGTTGCTACATTTTCAATTAAATTTATCGTTTCCAAAAAAAAATGTGACAGTTATTAAATGTGTATTTATTTATAATAAAACAACATTTTTTAGTTCCACATTGTATAACATTTGGGATTGTTTTAAAGTGTAGATCTTGATAAACTGTATTTTTGGAGCAAAAAACGCCATATTTGTACAAAATACAAGGCCAGTTTTTAACAATTCATATTAGCGATTTTTTTAAACAAAATCTAAGCACGACACTGGATTTACCACCCCTCAAAACGACCCTTTACTAAATTTTATTGAAAAATGTTAAGTAGAAAAATCCACAATAATAAATACAAAAATTTATTCTGTCAAATTATTCATGAAAAAACATTGAAATAATAGTAATAGTAATAGTACCATCTTACTATATATGGTATACCAGCTGGATTTATGTTGATCCAGCAAAAATCCACCTGGATTAAAAACCCTGCTGGATTGCAATCCCTATAGGGATTAAATACACTGTAAAAAATAATTAACACAATTTTACACGCGCCATCAACAAACTGTTTTATTCCAAGTCCACACGAAATCGTGTTAAATTTTAACACAACATCAGTGTGTTGATTTGTTTTGTATATCGTGTAATAATTATATAATTATATAATTATAATTGATACGAAGAACAATTGAACTTTAATATATGGATTGTGTAATTTTTACACAACTTTAGGTATTAAATTTAACACTAAATTGGGTAGTTAAATAAAAATTACGTTTAAATAATTATTTTTATTTCAAAAAATGTTTATATTTATATTAGATGATCGCTGAAAGCACTAAAGGCTATCCCAAAGATCAAGTTTTAGAAATGTTTCGAGTATTGGAAGATGAGCTGGCACATGTGCATAATATCCAATACGGACTATTTTGAAGGCGACAACATTAATGTAGACGAATAAATAAATATTTTTTTCAAAAAACGAAAATTCCCGATATTTTCTGATCACACCTCGTATATCTACAAAAAAAATAGAAAGTGGAAACTGATAATAGTTTCAGAAAGTGCATTTTTAAATATAAATAAATAACGTTATCAAAATAAAAAATATGTATATTTTTTGTGCTACGCGTACTTAACAATTCAAACAATAGTTTGTTTTGATAAACCTTTTTGAGTTTCATCAAGATTTTTTCTTAAACACAAACAAACTGATTATAA